TGCAAGATTTTCCAAATTAATGTGTCACACAAAAAAAATCGTACTAAAAATTATTGTATATGTTATTTTACTAGTTCTGGTGATACAAAGAGAAACAAGGTTTTTTAATCAAAATTTAGAATTTTCTAAAAATAAGGAAAAAATTTTTTTAAATAATCTAAAAAAACTTTGGTCTTTCCTCTTCATAAATAACATAAATATTTAGGCGATAAAATTTTGTTTTCAAGTTGGCGTCTTTTTCATTATGCTGTGCTCTTTTTTTTTTTTTTTTTTAGAAATCTCATGGAGTTACCTACAGTTTTTATATTAAAGTTGTTGAATATTTTTAAACTAGTTGAAAACGCTGTTCATTTTCAATGTAGATCTTTACAATTCAGAGCAAAAGTTTATGTAGAAACGTTCCTCGATTTACAAGAAAAAGAAATCGATGATTTATATTCAAAGTTTTCTGCATTTAATTAAAAAATTACAGAGATACACATATTCGCGTTTTCATAAAATTAAGTAGTGGGGTGGGGTAACAGATGTAAAAAAAAAGTGATTTTTTACCATGGCTTTGGCTTTCTAAAAACAAACATTTCTAAAATAATTTCATTCATTTTTTTCAATTAATTCTGAAAATTTCATTAAAATCTGACAATTATTTGATTTTTGTAAGAATTTCCAAATTAATGTGTTTTTCAACTGAAAAAAGAGCTAAAAATCAAATGCTAAATATTACGCGACCCCTGATGTATCAGTCTATATTTATGAGATGAGGTATTATGTACACTAATTACATTATTCGAAATATTGTCCTTATCTTTGTCGCCACATTTATTGCAACGTTCAGGCCATTGTACACTCCGGCCTTCTTCAGGTGATTGGAATGTCAAACTGAACTCTTTATTTTGCTGACTGAGGCAGACTGTTCTAGTTTCATGTACCATGTCTAATGGATGTCAGTTATCAGTTATCACCTGTTAATTCTCCTCTCTAAGTTCTCCACTGCCTTAACCAGGTATGGAACTCCCATTCTTTGGGTCCTGTCACTGGATCTAACTAACGCTTTTATCCACTGTGCCATGTGTCACACAGAACTTGGAGAGGGGAATTAACAGGGGCTTTTTTTTATCAGGGTATGCCATTTTTTAGCAAAATTTTGGGCATACCTAGGTGAATGTGTTGACAGGTTTAGTATAGTGCATCAAAAGTGACATAGCGTATTTTTTTGGTTTCTTATAATTTAAAATACTATAAAAATTTCTTACATTATTGTGTTACCTCTCTTTCATTATTTAATAGCTAAGATAATGATAACTAATTTTATTAATTATTAATATTACATTAAGTTATTACATTTTTAATTTAATAATTGAGATAATAACTAATAAAATTATTATTATATTAATAATTAAATACCTCACTGAGTTATTAATTGTTTAAATTGATAAATGAGATAATTTTTTTATCTCAATTTAATTTTTAATTTAATAACTGAGAGTGAGATAAGACCATTACATGTCAAAGGGCTTTCCCCAAGAAGGAGACAAACCTTGAAACACCTGACCTTTTAACCATAATGTCACTTATGAGAAATCATATTAAAAAACTATAACATTTTGATGCAGAAAAAGAAAATATTTTTAATTGTTAAAAAGGTTTGGTAGCATTATTTGTATTAAGCTTTTAATTTTCGCTTAGTAAATATAATCTTCACTTAAAAACTTAATAACCTTCCCCAGACTCTGTTTGGAAGAATTTTAAAACATTTTTTTTTTTTAATTAAAGAAAATGAAAAAACTAATAGAAAAATGCAAACAATTCTTGTAAAAATTATTTATTCATCGAAAATTTTTTCTTCAGATAATAATGTATATTATTTATAAAAGTAAATAAAAGTCTATCTAATTTGATAATTAGATAGTTTACTGCAGTCTTTCATTAATAAGTGCTGAAGTTTTCATTTAAATCGGATAATTCTCCAATTTTCGATATTTTTTTAAAAAGCGGTGGGTGGCATGGTTTTTCCTTTTATCCTGGAAAAAATTGTAGTATTATATTTGTAGTGTATCTGTAGTAATCCGTTTCATATTCCTCAATGCCATGATCAACTGTACCCATCAATAAACATAACCCTTCTTTGCCAAAGACAAAATCTGCTGGCTTTTATATGTACCTCAGTCGGTTAGGCAAGTTTTTACATGCTCACCTACAGGCATTTTATTAGTCCTAAGGCACTAGGTACTTTACATGACCATGTATGGTACAGATGATTTTGTACCTCGTTCATCTGGGAGATAGGCCATGTTCATTACATTCCCCTCTGATTACATTGAGAGCAGCCAAAAAAGGAGGCCTCTTGTGTCTGTTGCTTCTCTGGAGTGTTGGTACCACAGGCTCACTCATCTCTGACCCTCTTCACATCACCTCCATTCATTTAGTCAGTGTCCACCATTGGTAGACACATTCTATCATCATTTGATGTTGCAACCTCAACCTCCACATGGTCGCGCACTACTTGAGGGAGATGACGAAGGTCTCTCATGCGGCATGGTATTCCTTCAATGTAGACTCTCTGGGGACTCGAGATTTTGGTCACTGTTCCTTTTCTCTATTTACTCATGCATTTATTGGGTGATGTTTTTACTAGTACAACATCACCTTTTGTTATATGTTCCCAGTCTAAGTTCAGCCTCCATTGGTGTGATGTTATTAACACCTTTCACCTGAACTTCATAGGAGTAAAACACATTGGCTGGTGCAGTCTCACTGTGAATGCCATCCTTTGGGGTAATGTACTAGTACACTGCTTCCGGGACAGAATATTGCTTCAAGGCAGCAAACCACTTTATGGTTCTCTGTGAATGTTCAGCAATGCCATTTCCAGATGGTGCATATGAACATCAGGATTACAGGCAGCTGCCCCAATCTTCAGCAAATGTGAAATTTATGCTGTGCCATTTTCTGTCAGGATTTCCTCAGGTGGGCCCCTTCCAAGAAAAATTGCCTTGAGACACTGAATGACAGCAGCAGAATTTTCTTGTGCTAAGGGTTGCCAACTGGTGAAGCGAGAAGGCCCATAGTCTATGAGGGTCAAGTAATGGGTGATATCATAAACCCAGCCTTTACTATACACCTTCTGTCTCCAGTCTCCCTGTCTGCCATTGGATCAGTGCTGGATCAATTGATTGACATTCCAAGCAGGATTTAAAAGCTGATCTGATAGTTTCTTTTGTCGTGTATAGGGCGATCTTCCTAATGAAGTAGATTGTTTGTCTAACACCAGAATGTCACTAATACAGGTGCATTTTTCTTAATCTGGCTGAAGTTCATTCCACTGCCAGTTGCAGCACATACTTGTAGCACAAGTTTGGCTTCGTTTTTCATTTCCAGCCACCTTCGTGGTATTCTGGCAATCAGGTTCACCTTGTTTTGGTTCTTCTTAACAGGGGTAACATTCACCGATAAAGCAAACCTCAGTGTCTGTTGCATAAGCGTCAACATGGAGATTAAGTTCCCTCTAATCCATTACGGGCAACACCTATTTATTTTATTGAATGATGACCATCAACAGAAGCCATTTCTAAATTTGCATACATCAGAGGGCCAGCCTTTCATCGACATGGCTTACTCTGTAATACAGTTTCACAGCTTGCTGGGTGCTTTGCCATCTGTCCATTTCTATGAGAAAATTCCACATGAAAATCAGGTTCCAATCAATATAATTTTTGTTTGGAATACACCACAGAGTATTTTGCTGACTGGAAATAGTAAAATTTAAATCCTTTGGCTTTCAATTAAAACTAAAATGGAAGCTTCAAAAAGGTTTTTCATTTATAAAAACTAATTTTAAACTTTAGGTATCAAAAATTAGCAGAGGTACCTAGATTAAAGATAACAGTAATTGTAGAGTTTTACAGTATTTAGGAACCAAGTTTTATGAAGTTGGCTTGACTTAATAAAAAATAAAAAAAAGTGGGGGTGTCAGAATTTCATCTTGTAACCTAGGAAGGGTTACTTGAGGAATAATCAAAACGGATGTTGGAAATGAAATGGTAATCTTTATAACATCAACAAAATACAATACTCGCCAGCGCCGTGAAGTAGGTAAGCCACAGCTAGTGGTGGACTACTTAGACAGCATATTACCCCCACTTACAATAGTGTCTTATGAGGACTGGAATATGCCCATTAGTGTTCATATGTACGGTATATAACATTCTGTATATATATATATATAATGATGATATAATAATATATTATGATGGCATTTTTTATATATATATATATATATATATATATATATATATAAAATCTAGAAAGGGTTACTGAATGTTACAATTTACAATAGTGTCCAATGTATTTATGAGAGTTGGGACACTTATTACTGTCCACAGATACGTATATAAAAAATATATATATATATATATATATATATATATATACACACATCATATTATACATATATCATACATACATATATCATTTCATATATACATATACATATATATCATATATACATATCATATATTAAAATATATATATATATATCATAAACTACAGCTAGAATCCTCAGGAGAAGATTTAAGAGTATGCCTGTTCAAAATTCAGCCTTGCAAAGAAGATATTCTAAAATTGTCATGCTCGGATAGATATCTCATCAAATATTAAATTATATGTTGTAACCTAGAAAGACTGACCAAATGAGGACTAAGCAAAACAGAGGTTGGAAATGAAATGGTAATCTTTATAACATCAACAAAATACAGTGCTCGCCAGCAGTGTGAAGTAGGTAAACCACTGTTAGTGGTGGAATAATTAGACAGCATATTACCCCCACTTGCAATAGTGTCCAATGTTTTTATGAGGATTGGGACGTACCCATTAGTGTTCATATGTACGGTATATAACAGTCTTTTTGTTTTTTCCTTTAGTTTTACTATTGTCTAGTGATGGACAGTTTGTCATTTCAGAAAACCAAGTTTTATGAATTAGACTTTTTCAAAAATAATTTTGTGATGATATTCGTGGGGAAATTTGTGACGACGTTCTCCACTTGTCTCTCATTCACTGCACCTCTGACATCTGTATTTATCCTTGTCCCTGTTTGGCTGAAGTCCACTTTTTCTTTTTATTTCTTATTTCCACATTGTTTTTCCTTCATCCTTCCTTTTAAAGTCAATGGTTCACTTTTTCTTCTACACTCACATGTTTCCTTTTTCCATTTTGACTCAGTCTATATACTTGTCACAGCAACCAATTGTGATGACATTTGTGACAAAATTTTTGACGATGTTCTCTGCTCATTCATCGTTCACTGTACTGTATTTATACTTATGTTCCCAAGTTTTTCTTGGCCATGATCACATTCAACAAAAAAATAATAAGTGTTTTTAAGACATTTGTTGGGAGTTACCAACAATATGATTTCTCACTTAACAGTGGGATCCTTCCTTCAATTTAGAGAAGTGAACTGATACTAACTTTCAGCCATGAAAAAGGACTCTTACATTCACTGCCGTTTCGGTCACTGCTGATTCCTCACTTAACCAGCTATCTTTCTTTTGGTTGAATTTGTATCTCCTTAACTGCCACTGGTCCCTTCCTACCTGGCCATCTGGCAACTATTCACTCACTGGTCAACTACCTACTTCTCTCAGTGCTGGGCCCCTGTTTCTTGCTGGCTTTCTGTTTCTTGTTGCTTATATGGATAATGGCTGGGGTCTCACCCCACTATGCATCCACTTGTGGTCTGGAAGATTTGAGACCAAGCATTTAGCTTTTCGATTGGTCAATTTCTTCAAAAGAGGTTACTTTTCTGATTATCGAAAATTATTAACCTTTTTTGTTTGCTAATTCAAAGGCACTGAAAATGAGGGTTGGGAATGGAATTCTATTCTGAAAATAGAAAAAAAAAATCAGAATTCCCTAAAACTTGAAATGGAATTAAGAAAAAGTTGAAAAGGATAATTTATCCATCTAAAATTGTCAGATGCTAATAGTTCTATGTGTAAAATAAAGTCAAATTGTAGTCACCAAAAACATAAAAACTATCATTTTTAGTTAAAAAAAAGTCACAAATGGTTTAAAAATGTTTTTGTTCATTTTGAAGGTGGAAAAATATGGTTTGTTTCAGGGTGCTTTTGAAAAGTTTGTTCAGTAATCTCTGAGAGGATCTCTTCTCCTTGGCACTAATGAAAAATGATGATTTGTTTTCATTGGGCAGAGATGCCTGCAGAAGATGTGCCTGCTCTGAACTTGATCATTAGTGCAGGTCTATTTTGGAACCATGGTATTGCACTTAATTTGAAAGTTGGGATTTGACATTTACATTGTAAATATTTTTAGTGTCTTTTGCTTCTATTTTTGTATCAATAAATGTAAAGTTATTAAACATTTTGAAGTTGAAATGAATCTACTCATCAAATTTTTCATACACTTATAATTTCCTCAGTTTAAATAAAACATTTTTCCCATAAGTTGTAATTAATTCGAGCAGACAGTTATAAAAATAATTTCGGTATGGGTTTTATATTGCAATTATTAACTGTTACTTTTAAGAAATGCTTCAGTTGCCTTCCGAGACCAATTTTCATCTCTTGGGTTTGTGCTGTAGAGGGACTTAGCAAAGGATCTTCTATTCTCCTAAGCAGATATGCCTGCAGCAGATAATTTCACACCAGGCTATGGACTTGGTAATGTTGCCAGTGACATTTGTTCAAGAAAATGCCTAAAAAGCAAAAGATATTTTATGAGATCCATATTTCAATTGATTCTGAATTGACAATATTGTGATTTTAATCACATACATTTCATAAGATATGATGTGAGGATGAAGAAATCTTGTTTCACTGCAAAATGTTTGATGTTCACTGGCAGCGGCTGCTGCTGCTGCTTTATTGACACAATAATTACATGTATCATTCATAATATACACTGCTTTCATATATTATTCACTGCCGCTATTAATATATCATTTATGCCGTTTTTCTTCACATGTTTTGGCTGTACAAAAACCACAGTTGTTGAGAATTTCATTGACGGAAAAGACATTTCACTTTCTATGAAAACACAAAGGTTCATTTGAAAGTCATGAATCTACATTGTCAAAAGCATGACAATGAACTTTACCTGGCAAGAAATAATGTACTTTGAAATGTGTTTTTGTAGAAAGTGTTATATACGAATAAACAGGAAAGATTGGGCATATTCATGTGACATCTACTAAACTATTGTGAAGTCGGATAAAATAGGCTATGGATTTCATCATATTGCTCATTGCAATACGCCAAGACAAGATCCAAATAAACATAAAAATCATCAGATATTTTTCAAGATCCATATTTGAATTGTTTCTGAATTGACAATATTCCGATTTTAATCATAGGCATTTTATACGATATGACATTATGGTGAAGCAATCTTGTTCCACTGCATAATGTTTGATCTTTCCTGGCTGCTGCTGTTGGATTGTTAAAATAATAATTGTATGTATCTCTTATAATATGGACTGCTTTCATATATTATTCACTGCTCCTATTAATATATCATTTATGCTTTTTTTTCTTCACAGATGATTTGGCTGTACAAAAGCTGCAGTGGTTATTATTCAGAATTTCAATGAAGGAAAAGACATTTCACTTTCTATTAAAACACAGACAAATATATGTGACATGGTTCATGTGGAAGTGATGGATTTACTGTAAGAAATATGTAGTTTATCTTTATGCAAAAATACGTTTAGTGTTATGTATGAATAAGCAGGAAAGATAGGCCATATTCATGTGACATCTACTAAACTGCTGTGAAGTTGGAGATAATAGGCCACATGGAAACACATATTACAAAAAAACCATATTCTTGTGAACTTTGTGGATGTACGTTTTCACAAAAGCCAAATTTGGTCAGTCATATGCGTACACATACAGGAGAAAAACCATATTCTTGTCAAGTGTGTGGATCAGCATTTTCACAAAAGTCTCATTTAGTGACACATATGCGTACACACACTGGAGAGAAACCATTTTCTTGTGATGTTTGTGGCTCAGCATTTTCACTGAAGTCATATTTAGTAAGACATATGCGTACACACACTGGAGAGAAACCCTATTCTTGCGAAGTTTGTGGATCTGACTTTTCGCAGAATGCACATTTAGTGACACATATGCATACACACTCTAGAGAAAAACCATATTCTTGTGAAGATTGTGGATCTGCATTTTCACTGATGTCGTATTTAGTGAGACATATGCGGACACACACAGGAGAAAAACCATATTCTTGTGAAGTTTGTGGATCAGCATTTTCACGGAAGTCGAATTTAGTGAGACATATGCGTACACACACTGGAGTGAAACCATATTCTTGTGAAGTTTGTGGATCTGCATTTTCACAGAAGCCAGATTTGGTCAAACATATGCGTATACACACTGGAGAGAAACCATATTCTTGTGATGTTTGTGGATCTGCATTTTCACGGAAGTATGATTTGGTAACACATACGCGTACACATACTGGAGAAAAACCGTATTCTTGTGAAGTTTGTGGAGCTGCATTTTCACGGAAGTCAGAGTTGATCACTCATATGTGTACACACACTGGAGAGAAACCATATTCTTGTGAAGTTTGTGGAACTGCATTTTTACGGAAGTCAGCATTGATCAGTCATATGCGTACTCACACTGGAGAGAAACCCTATTCTTGTGAAATATGCAGATCAGCATTTTCAAATAATTCTCATTTGAAAAGACACATTCGAATTCACAATAGGGAGAAGTCATATTCTTGTGAAATATGCGTTGCAACATTTTCAAATCGTTCAACTCTAAAAAAGCACATGAACATTCATACTGGAGAGAAAAAATGATCCAAATTTTGCCAGTTCAGATATAAGTGTCCACGGGTAAGCACTGACAAGAGAATTTTTACAGGTTCATGGGCTAAAATTTTCAAACTATTCAGAGTTTAATTTATACACTGAATTCTTCCTAAGTTTGTCAATTGAAAATTTTGACAAGATTTAAATTTTAAAATATATGGCAACATTAAATTCTGCATGTAATCTTACCTTTTTCAAATAATAAGTTTACATTTCCAAGAATTCAAATTTAAAATCATCATGGAGAGCAAAGATTTACTTGTAAAATGTGTGTGGACATTATGGAAAAAAAATTAAAAATGCAAATGAGGAAACATACTGTAGTGAAACTATATTTTTGTGCAGTGTGTGTATTGCCCTTCTAAAATTCATAGAAACATTCTATAGAGAAAACAAATCTACTTTGAAAGTAAGACTAATAACAGTATGAATTGCTGCATCAGGAAATGTGTGTACTTGAATGTTAACAGAAAAAAATTGCATAAAAATAGTAAATTATCTTTAAAAAAGTCTTTTGGTTATGAAGCAAAACTACAGGAATTTAAATTTTTATTTTCAAGAATAATTCAATTTTTGGTTGAATTCTTTTAAAAATATGATATGCTGAATATAACTCTAGCAATTTCTTCATATTCTTACTACTGAATATAAGAAAATAAAATTAATAATATAAGATTAATAAACTAGAAACCTCAGTTTTCTGAGAGGACAAAAAAAGTCCCCAAACTTGACAAAAACAAAGTTTTATTGTGAAAATCTTTGTTATTATTAACTGGAAATAAGACTTGAATGAGGTTTTTCAGTTTTAGATTAAACTAAAAATAAGAACTAAATGATATCTCCCTAAATATGGGCAGTGGGACAAGAACAGTCTACTTCTGTACATTAAATAAAAGGTTCAGTTTAGGAATTTCCTGCCTGTAATGACACCTGATGAAGGCTGGAGTGCACAACAGCAGAAACATTGTGATAACAAAGATGACAATAGTCCAAATGTAAATAATATAAAATAATAACTCTTCATCCCACATTAAACTAATATAGTAAATGGTGTGTTGATTTCTCCTGTCAGCCTGCAGAAAAATGAAATATTTGCCCTTGTCTTTCCTGAAAAAAGTCTTTTTCTGATTGTTTCACAGTGGATATTTCAACAGGAGTAGATAGGTTAGTCTATTGTCCAGTTTACACTCCTTCCTAGTGTTTTGAACAGAAATATAAGTTCATCCCTTGTTGCCTGTTTAAATTTGGTTTCTTGTTCATTATAAAGTCTCCTTGTTCTTTTTCCTTCCGAGTAGCCCATTGTGTCCTAGTGGCAATTTCAGCTTGCTTGGGGTGAATTAATTATATATATATATATATATATATATATATATGAATATCAAAATAGACTTTGTGGTTCTCATCCAGTGTTTATAATCTGTTTCATGCTTAAATGCAATTGTCTTCCATATATATATATATATATATATATATATAAAAGTTTCAGGTAGAGAATATCTATAAAAAAACTATGAATGAAAACAACAGGAAAAAAACTTATCTTAGCCGATTTGTTTCATCCTCAGAGGGACTTTATCAAGGTAAATACAAGGATTTAATTTGCGTAACATATATTTATATATAAGAAAAAAAATGTCATTATTTTTCAAAATTTTAAAATATTCATCAGGTTAACAGAAAAGCCAATCAAACTATGGAGGATAAGATATGACACAATTCAATATCTAAAAAATGAAAATTTGGAAGGTTATGTTATGAAATTTTTTTTTTTAATGTATATACATATTTTAATTGTGAATAAGCTATAAGATCTTTTCTATTTTTAAAATGAAACTTGTTAGCGTCATAGAGAGAATTTTATTTCTTTCAATATCATAATATTTTTCAAATATATTTTATTACTTCAGACCAAAAAATAGTAAATATATTTGAGTTCTTCTTAAATACTTTATAAATAACATTTCATGTGAGTGTGTGTGCCATAATTATCTTTCAAAAGTAAGGATTATAATATTTAAATACAATTAATCAGTAACAAACCATTACAGAAAAATATCATTTTTGTTTTATAATTTTCTTATGGGCCACCATACTTACAAAGAGAAGCCATTCAAATACACAGTTCACATCACAAACATTACTGCTTTCATCAAGTGATGTGAAGCACCCATGTTAAAATACATTTGTTGTTTTTTAAATAAAGTATGGGAAAGTTTTGATGTATTTACATCAAGGAGAATACTAACAAGAAAACACCAGTTACCAGTCAGCTGCCGAGAGACTTGAAGTTCACAAGCAGAAAGAATGAAAAAAATCTAAACTTATTTTTTAAAAATGACTTGTAATCTTTCAGTGTGATTTTGAAATTCATCCCGTTATTGCTTGTCATGAGAGTTTAAGTAAAGACGTTTGAAGATTTAAAAAAAAATTTAATTTGTTTTTATCCATTTCCCCTTTTTGAGAGTTATTGTATATAGTAGTCAATCAAATCGAGCAAAAAAATTATTTCCTTTGTGTACATCCTTAGCAAAAATAATCTGACTGTTGCTAAAAAGAAAAAAATAATGAAATTCTTTTCAGAAAGTTTCTCACTCAAAAATGTCATAAGTAATTAAACTTTATATTTTTTTTTTTTTAAATCTTCAAACATGTCTATATTTAGTAAAACAAATTCTCATGACAAACAACAAAGGGATGAATTTCAAAATCGGACTGAAATATTACAAATAATTTTAAAAAAATAAGTTTAGATTTTTTTTTCTGTTTGAGTTTCATTAAATAATTAAATATAAGGTTTAAAATTTTAAAAAAGGTTGCCTTTCAAACTTTTTGTTTTTACTATTGTAGTAGCGTGGTGGTAGAACAGAGTTTAAAATCATGAATATTTTTTAATGTCATAAATTTTTTCATTAAATTTTATTTTAATTCAAATAAATTAAGCTCCATGAGATCACTCAGAAGAGAGCATAGCATAATAAAAATGTGATGAAAATTTTTATCGTCTAAATGCTTATGTTATTATTAAGAGGAAAGACCAAAGTATTTTTTTGATTATTTTTCTACATTTTATTATCCTACCTTTCAAATACAGAACTTAACATTTTCAAGAATTCATATTTAAAATCATTCCTGAAAGCAAAATGTGTGTGAACATTATGGCAAAGAAAACTAAAAATGCAAATGAGGACACACACTGAAGTGAAACTGTATTTTTGTGTATTGTCCTTTTCATGGATTGTTATTTTAGAATTCAGAAAAGTGCATTCTAGAGAGAAAACAAATCTACATTGAAAGTAAAACTAAAAAACAGTATGAATTGCTGTTCAGGAAATAGGTGTATTTTAATGGCAACAGACAAATGCTGTATAATAAATAGTAGGCAAAAAAAGATCTTGTAGCCTCTATACACAGCAATTAAATCTATCTATGCTTGCCGATATCTATCTGCCACTGTGTCCATATTTCATTTGGTTCTTATCTTTCGTAGTCTGTACATATCAAAGTTTTTTCCTATTTATCCATAAAATACAGAGTCTGTCTATATGTGAGTTCAATTCCTGGTTAAGGCAGTGGAGAACTTTCAGAGGGAAAATTAGCAGGAGATAACTGATATCCATCAAACATTGCATGTGGAACTAGAACAGTCTACCCCAGTGATCAAAATAAAGAGTTCAGTTCAAAATTCCAACCACCTGAAGAAGGCCGGAGCATACAACGGCCGAAACATTGTGACAAATATGGCAACAAAGATGAGCACAATAGTCCAACTAATGTAAATACTGATCATAAAATGCATTTAAGCAGCAGTACTTCCTCAAAACAAATTTGATTAAAGGCCATAAAAAATTGAATTTAAAATAGTTTTCAGTTAACATTAAAACTTTTAATTTCAGTCTATAACCTTTATCCATCAAGCTGTTGAGCCTAACTTCTACATTTCAGTATCTTCACATGCGAAGTCTAAAATCTTGTTTAAGCTAAACACTATCCAGGCTCCACACATAAATCTTACAATAATCATCACTGGTTGGCCAATATATATCAAAAGTTGCAACAACACCTACGCATAGTGTTTAGATTAAAAAATGCGCCCCAAAGTAAAAACGTGTTCTCGAGCCTATCACATGGTTCACATTACTTATAAATACTTGGTGACATCTTCTCTCAATCTCTTGTTTCTGTTCTCACAAGCAATATAAGCTCTGTGGAGAAAGTGGAGTTTTCCTGTTGGGGAAAATGCCAACAAAGACACGCACACAGGTATGAACAAGAAAAACACAACAGTTTTGGACAGTTGAAAACTCACAAAAGTTTTGGCGAAAAGTAGATAAATAACAGAAATCCTGACTATATGCCTTAACATAACTACAGTCTATATTTCTTCATTTCATTACAACCCCAAGGGCAGAAACTCTTAACAACATTTTGAGTCACACCAACATTTTTTCACACTATTTTCAAACTGTTTAATTCTCTTACAAGTAACACTACATCTTAGTAAAATTTTCCAAACTTACACACCTTTTAATACACTTTACAGTCTATCAACAAGAACAAGTAAATTTCAGCATTTCAAATTCAACTGATTTCCTGTTTGTACAATTGTTGTTATGCATATATAAATTCCATTTACTTGTGCAACTTCTCTTGTTTAATGTGTTTCTTCTTGTGGTAATTTGCATAATATAAATTAGTTAGGGCAATCCAATGACCCCCCTCCCCCGGCCTCCAAAGCCAATATGTTTGTCGATCAAAAATGAAATTATTTTCCAGCTAAGGTGAATTTAGATTTTTATTTTTTAAGAATAGTTCAATTTTTGGTTAAATTTTTAAAAAATATTACATGTTCTAGCAATTTCTTGATATTTTTAAATATAAGAAAATAACCAACATTAATAATGTAAGACTAATCATAAACTAGGCACCTCCATTAATTTTTGGAAGATGAAGAAAAAAATCCCCACACTTGTTAAAAACAAAATTTTATTGTGAAAATGATTGTTATTATTAAGTGGATGTATTATTTAAATTAGGTTCTATGTTTTTAGATGAAACTAAAAATATAAAAACAAGATGGTATCTTCCTAAACATGGGCAGTGGGACAAGAACAGTCTACTTCTGTACATTAAATAAAAGGTTCAGTTCAGAATTCTCTGTAGGTTGCCTGTATTGACATACCCCTGATGAAGGCTGGAGTGCACAAGAGCAGAAACATTGTAATAATAATAAAGATGAGGACAATTGTCCAAATGTAAATAGTATAAAATAATGATAACTCCTCGTCCCAGATTAAACTATAAAATAAATAATGCATTGATTTCTCATGTCAGCCTGCAGAAAATTTTGCACTTGCCTTTCCTGTAAAATCTCTTTTTCTGATTGTTCCACTGAATATTTTTGCAGAAATCGATAGGTTCACACTCCTCCCCTGTCTTTTGAACAGAAGTAGTAATTTATCCCTTGTTTCCTGTTTAAGTTGGGTTTCTAGTTCCTTCTAAATTCTTCATATTCTCTTTCCCTCCCAGTATCCCCTTGCATCTTAGAGGCATTTTCAGCTTGCTTGGGGTGAATTATTTAAATATATAAAAGTAGACATTGAGGTCAATACCCAGAGTCTACGGCCTGTTTCATGCAATCATCAGGCAACTTTTAGATATACTCTATCCCTGATATTGAGCACCTTAACTCATAAATATATTATACCTCAAAATTATATTTTTATTATACACACACACACACACACACACACACACACACACACACACACATATATATGTGTATGTGTATAAAAGTATATCTGTAAAAGAATAATATGAATGAAGACAAAAGAAAAACTTATCATAACCAACATGTTTTGCCCCGTGTGACTTTATCAAAGCAAAATACAAGGATTTTACTTTGTAACAAGTATATATAATTATTTACCCGCTGCCCCACACAGCAAGATGTGGCACAAGGCCGAGTATAAAGAGGGGTATCCAAGCCCATAGGCTCAGGCAAAAACTCCCTATAGACCACGTCAAAATGGAGTCAGTTTCCCAAGACGAGACTCTGCCCTTCGACGGAGCTTCTGGGGGATACCCTCTGACATAAGCCAGGTAAGTGTGTATGTATATATATATATATATATATATATGTCTTGTTACAAAATAAAATACTTGCATTTACCTTGATAAATCCCCTCAGCTAAGTTTTCCTTTTGTCTTTATATAATATATATTGTGTATAAACTATGAGATTTGTTTCTGTTTTTAAAATGAGCCCACTTAGCTAACAGATTTCGTCATCTGAGAGACTTTATAGGAAGCTAAGTTTTCCTTTTGTCTTTATTCATGTGTATGTCTCTCTCTCTCTCTCTCTCTATATATATATATATATATATATATATATATATAATATATATATTATGTATAAGCTATAAGATTTTTTCTATTCTTATAAAGAACTGTTAGCTTCCTAAATTTTCCAGAGGGAAAATTTTATTTCTTTAAATATCAAAATCATTTTCAAACATATTTTATTACTTGAGACAAAAAATTGTAAATTTTTTTGAGTTCTTCTTCAATAATTTCTAATCAACATTTCCTGTGACAGTGTGTGCCATAATCTTTTCAAAAGTAATGATTATACTATTTAAATAAAATTGATCAACAACAGAAAAAATTTATTTATATATCGTTTTCTTTGTAATTTTCTTCTTACAGGCCACCATACTTATAAAGGGAAATCATTCAAATTCACAGTTCGCAACACAAAAAATGCTGCCTTCATCCTCAACTGATGTGATCTACCCATGTTAAAATTGGTGATGGGATGATTAATTGGAATTGAGAATTGAAAATATTGGAATTTTCAGGCTATTTGTATCAGTATTGCAATCAGAGAATATTTAATCTAATTTCCAATTCCAAAAATGATTCTTAGTTTTTTTTTGTTTAAAACTTAATTTTCCATTCCTGGTACTAATGATAAAGAGATACAAATATTTATTGACTTTAAACTATCAGTAAAACTAAAACCTAAGTATGATGTAAATTTAATTGTATAAAAAAGAAAATGAAATGTGCAAGTTTCTAAGTTATCAAACTTTCTGTAAAGTTCACTAGTTTAAAGTCTGTTTTAGTTGAAAATAAAATTTTTATTTTTAATATATTATTATAAAGTATTTAATAATTATAATCAAAATTATTTAATATAAAGGCAAAATGAATTCATGTTGTTTTTCTGTTGGGCTATTTTTTAGTTTTACAACAATTTTTATCATTTAAATTATAAAAAAGACAAAAAAGCATTGTCTGCTTTTAAAAACGTAGAAAAAAAATTCAGAATTTTATATAAAATTTTATTTTAAAATTCAAATTTTCAATTATTCTTAAGTACAAATTGAAAATAAAATTCCATATAAGGAGTTTTGATCAGCACTTAATCCAAAGAATCATATAATGGTGGTAGTAGACGTTTGTGATCCTGTAAAGAGAATTCCATACATTCAAATGAATCTTGGATTTCCCACCAATTTCACATTTGATTTATTTACAAAAAACTGACCTCCTGTCACAAATTGTCCTTACAACAATTTCTTGTACACTTTTCAATGTAAGTCTTACAAGAAAATTTTTCACTGAAAATATTTTCACATAATTTGTTTTTATAATAGTTTTAATCCATAAAATCATTTTTTTAGTCTGTTTATTGAAAAGATTTATTTTTGTTTACATAGTATGCTATGTAAGCAAATATATGGATATAGATCTGACAGTATGAAGAAAAATATATGGAAAAAACAAACAAAATCCTAATATGCAATTATGCTGTTTTAATGTTAATATAATGTCAACGTCGGACGTTTCGGTCTAGTAGACCATCTTCAGGACATATTCATAAAACATAATTAACATTAGACTATATTTAATTCAACATGAAAAGACAATGGACATAAGATTAAAACTAATCAAAACAGACAACTGAAATTTTTTCAAGATCAGTGTTTCGTTTCGATATGATCACGTTAGCGTCACATGGGCGATGTCATGAAAACGTATTCCTAAAATAGTATTTTGAATGAAAAATGAAAAGAATTTTATTTTCATCTAAAACATATATGTACGTTTGACAAGCATTAATCTTACTAGAAAAGGGGAAATATTAAAGAAGCCGGGTCTAGTATTCACCGTGCGTGAGATAGATATTATGCCTGCCTCATATTAGGATTTTTGTTTGTTTTTTCCATATATTTTTCTTCATAGTATGCTATGTAAACAATAATAAATCTTTTCTATAAGAAAGATTTAAAACAGTAAACAATCTTTTATGAAACTTAAATTTATTTCTACGAAATTCATGTATTCTTATATTTACCAAAAAAAAAAATTAAAAATAAAACTTATTTGAAATTTCCTGAAAAAAACTTTTTCACACAAATATGTGTATTAAAAGACCTAAAATTTAGTTTCCATGAAAAATTCTATTTAATTTCATTTTAATAATAT